GAAGCACATAGAATATGAAATTATTAAGAGGATTGGAGGGAGGTTTGAGGAATGGTATCAAAGTCTGCCTCACACAGAAAATCACTTGTAAACCCCCACACCAAATAAAACTCCATCTCTTTCCCAGACAATTCCATGTGGTAGAAATTTCCTTGTTTATAATTACATTGGGGATGCCATATCACTTACAAATGCAAGGTATGTTTATCATGTGCAGATCTGAAAGTAGGAAAGTGAAATATAAATAAATAAATAAATATGCATTGCAAATCTTAGAATGTTGTAAAAAAGAAATTACAGAAAGGAAAATATGAGAAAGAAGAACTCCTGAGAAGAATGGAAACACACTTATATCTAGGACACTGGAGACACTACGTTCATTTACTGTGCAATCTTGTATGTTTTCTTAGAAATAAATCCTACTATGTGCCACGTGGCTCACTCCCTGCTATGTGTATTTAAGTTTTCCAACTTATTGGGCTTATCAAATATACAAGCTAAAACACTGCCTTTACTACCCTCCAAAGTAATCTATTCAATTGCACTTTAAGGCAATGGCAAATGTATTGCTTTGCCTATATCATGAGTCGCCAACTTCAGCTGGTCCAGAGCCCAGTTTTGGGCAGCTGTGGACGTCACTCCCTAAGAAAACGAGGCAACATACATTTAATTTGTGGATTTTTCTTTCCAATTTTAAAAGGAAGACTCAGTACTGGGGGAAAATTGACAGGAAGTCTAGGGGTTAGAGTAGGGGTTAGTAAAGACATGCAGAAAGGCACATGTGGTCTTCCCAGTCCCACATGTTGTCCAGATCTACTTGAAAATGGCTTTGGGGATGGGATGGGAGGAACTCATACTTGCTGGGAATGGGAAACACAGTTGCTTCATAATGATTATGTCACTGGAATGAAAACACATTTTACAGTGTATGAGTGAATCATACCAATGTGGAGTAGCGCAGAAGTCAATCCAACCGTAGACCAGAGACATTGCTGTTATGTGCCCTAAAGATAGGACTGACTTATAGTGACTCTAATAGGGCTTTCAAGGTAAGTGAGATATTTAAGGATTGGTATTATCCTTTGAACGTAGGCTTCCTGAGTCCGTCCATCATCTGTCCATTACACCACATTGGGTATTTAGACCAGAGACTACAGGGTTCGAATATTCATTCATTAAATGGACAGTTTGACCTTGCACCTATCACCATCTATCATGCATAATTGTTGTTGTGAAGAGGAAATAATGCTCCCTTAAACTCCTTGGATGAAGAGTGAGGTATAAATGTATTATTATGTGAGGAGTATGTTGGCTGGGAAGGTTGTTGTTACACTCACTGGTGAAATGGAAACCTTCTCAATTTCTGAGGGAAACGCTTCTCAGACATCCTTCCATTGTTCAGACTATGCAATTATATTTTGTTTTCATTTAGGAGATGATTCTGCACAGATTGGGGGATGGGGCGGAATAATAGCCTTGTAATGTATTTTGGCCCAGACACAGAATTTTCATTCTAAATTTACCCGTTCATTGCCTGAGAGCAGACAATATGGTGATTTTTGTTCTGTTACCAAGCCACTGTAGTACATCTGAGCTGTTCACTGGTATTAATATTAATGTTCTTAGTACCTCAAATACACATTATAGTATCAAAGTTATAGGAGACAAAATACTGGTGTTTGCTGAAATGACAGAGTCCACAAAACTCATTACAACTTGCTCAAGTACTTATTTCACCTTTAGTCCATTGTGTTCCCAAACCCAACTATTATCCATACAGCTTATTCACATAAAGGTAGCAACTTCTATTATCAATACATGTGTTGACATTTGTATTTTTGACAAGGGGTAAATAACACAGCTCCTTCAATACCCTTAGGAGAACTTCACCTGACTGGCAGTTTGAGGGTGAATTTATGCCACACACAAAAAACCTCCCAATTTCAGAAACTATTTCTATGGATATTATACATCAAAACAAAACACTGTATTACATAAAACACAATGTTGAGCTGTATTTCTCCTCGTAGTATTATCAGCAATTAATTTTTAGAAGGCATGAATAAATACATTAGTAAACTAAAACTGCACTCCTCAACAGAGCTCATTATGTTATGTCAGCCTCCTAAATCTTCCTGTCAAAGGTAAATAAAATTGCCCCCTATGTTGGTCCTTAGCGTGCTGCCAAAGTATCAAGCTGCTGTAGTGCTATTAAAAACGAACAATTACAGATGTAACCTCTCTATCCTTCTTTTTGCAACCATTGATGGTTTTAACAAAACTTGTCTGAAAATAATTGTATATAACAAAACCATTTTAAGATCCTTCTCATTCTATCTACAAATGTGGATGGGCTTTTTTCACACCTACGGATATAGGTGTGGATATCACCTGTCAATATCTCTTTCAGTTTGGAAGTAAAACACTAATCTGTGGCTGTTAACTGATCAATATTTTGAGAATGTTGTCAATAAAAGGAACCGAAAAAGCACATACAGATGTCTAGTAGGTCCTAATTGTTCTCTTTTGCTATATACAACAAGGCTGATGGTAAATAAACCATGTGTGTACTAAGAATTAGAGCATCACTCTAGAAAAAACATCCTTATCAGAGTTTGGGAATAATGACTAGAAACCAATTAAATAATTATGCCTGTGTTAAATCCAATGGCTAATTGCTGCTAGTTAGTAAGTTAGGATTTGCATTTGTTCTTGTGCACAAAGGCACACGACAATAGGAAATACAGTCATTGACACTTCAATTAGTAGCAATTTGCCACTCTGATTTACACTGACGGATTTATGTGTAAGTAATAGGATTTTGGCTGATGTGTTAATTTTAATATTCTAACATTAAATATATTACCAATAAACCAACATCCCATGAATAAAAGTGGCATTATAGATGTAACAATTTAAAAATACTATTTTAAGTTGATTTTAAATTATTAATTATTGTTATTTTTCATTACACCCTATATAGAATAAATGTGCACATGCTCACACATACCCCATGAAGTACTTAATTCTATAAAGAGAAACGGTAAAATACCCACACTAATGATAATAGAAATATTTGTACACACATTTTTTCACTAAAAAGTCATTACACAACTTCATGTGTGCAATCAGTGGCAAATCACTACAGATTAAAGAAATGGCCACTGATTAAAGGCAATTTTGGAATGCATGTGATATGTATGCAATGTGGAAAAAGTCACATGCACCCTAAAATAGCAAAAGGAAGTGATGATTTGCTAGTGCTGGTGACTTCATTACTATCTTGCATGGGAAGCTGCATGACAGGATATCAGTCATTAATTAAAAGCAGGCATTAATTAGTTCTGAATAGATGTTATGACAGAACTCTGTTTTAATTCAATTTTATCAAAATTTTCCAAAATTCCAACATTTCTTCATATTTTGAATGGAAAAAGCTGAGAGTAAAAAGCTGTAAATGAAGGACAAACAGAACTGACAGATTTGTCCATCCAGGGTCAGGGCAGTGAGCATTTAACTCCTGGAGGTTTTGGACTTTAATAGAACGAACTTGGCAGTTTAAGAAATGTGAAACTGGCTAATTGTTCCATCCATAGTATCAATAAATAACTTTTCTGTTTGAACCTTGAGACAGAAAGGCACATCTGCATCCCTACACTTGCAGAGATTTTGAACAGTGGGAAAATAACTAATCTGTTACCTTTAGAGATTTCCTCTGCTTCATAATAAAAGCAGAAATGAATTCAAATAATTGTAAAATAACATGAGATAGCCTCATTTTTGTGCCATAACTGTAACTTTTTGGTTAGTTTCATAGTTATAAGGATATGGTCTCAAATAATTGTGGAGGAAGAATACCTCATTGTTCAAGCGCTGATTCATGAGGTGCCTTGTGCTACTGCCTCTTGTCTTGTTGTGAAGTGGCAACAAGGAGGATGAGAGAAGAGTGTGGGTTATACCAATGGTTCTCAAGCTTGGGTCCCCAGATCTTCTTGGACTGCAACTCCCAGAAATCCCGGCCAGCACAGCAAGTGGTGAAGGCTTCTGGGAACTGCAGTCCAAGAACACCTGGGGACCCCAGTTTGAGAACCACTGGTTTATACCACAAGCAAGTAGCTTTCAGCTATTAAACTATCTGAATGATAACTATTTTAGTTACTTTTGAGAAACAAGATTTGTTACTTCCTGGAAGTTATTTTAAAAATTGCAACTGTTACAGCTGGAGGACCTATTGCTACATTTGTAGAGAATTATTTTGAAAAAGTTATGTTTGAAGCTCTGGATTTAACAATATGGTAATTCAAAGGTATATGCCACAGCAAGGTTATAAAGCCTAAATATCCATGGTTGAATAAAATGCTGAATCTCTTATTTTGAGTTGGATTGAGAACAAAACCCTTTCTGCTCAAATATTTAAGACCACAAACATGAACGTGAAAAGTTCTCAAAGCCTCTTTCTCTAAGAGAATGCCAAGTAATCAAACTTTGGGGATCAATTGCAGATGATCAAAGAAACTAGAAATACAATAACATAAAGTTAACTAGAAGTAAACTTGAAACTAAGCTTGCTTAACATACAATCTACAACTGGCTTCCTAGCTGGGACTTTATAAGTCAGTTTTATGACTCTACCCATGACCTGAGGTCGATCACAGGCTTTGGTAGCCAGCTCAAGGTTGACTCAGCTTTCCATCCTTCTGAGTCCAGTAAACTTGCTGGGAGGTAGGGAGGGAGACAATATGTAACCTGCATAATTAAACTGCAAACCACTTTAAGCACTATGGGGTGATATATAAGCAGCATACTTTGCATTGCTTTATCCATATCAGACTGCAAAAATGGAGAACAACCTGGCTGGTCATGATTGATGGTGTTTGGCTGGCTGAGCGCAGGCCTGCACTGCACAGTTAGTGGTTAACCTGAATGTAGATAGAAAGCAATTGAAATAAAAAAGGCTGAAGGTGGGGGAGAGGCACATTCATGCTTGTACAGTTACTTACAGGATTTGTGAGCTCTGGCAAACTGGCTTGGTACGTGAGTGGCCGACAGTCCCGGGTGTTAAAAACTAATATACATGGAAGGAACATTGGTCCAAGATCATCCCCATCAAGGACATCAACAGTGAGGGTGGTGGTACTTGTTCTTCGTTCCATAAGATTTTGAGCTCGATCCTTCGGAAAAAGTATGATTCATGAACATTAGCTTCAGAAGTAAATACATGGCATCTTTCACTAAAAAGAGATTTATCTTGACACACTCTCACACACATATATACAGTGGCTGAAATCTCGTTGCTTAATACAGTAGGTTGCACTAAAGTAGGCCCATTGAATCAGTGGGATTTTAGTGAATTAGCTCTTGTGTAAGTTCCATTGATTCAAACAGACCTACTCTAGTTATGACTTACTATAGGGTAACTCACTAAATCCCCATTGATTTAATGGGCATACTTTAGTATAACTTAAGCAACAAGATTTCACCCTCAATTTAAAAAACAACCAGGTTGAGAAACTAAGTGGACACTGGGCTATCAACATGAGCTGGTTATAACCAGCAAGACCAGTAGGTGATGAGACAGAGATGGCAAGCTTACCATTTTTCATTTCTTGCTTTCACTAAGGTTTCTTTCTTTCTCTCTACTGGAAGTTCCCAATTGCTTTCTCCCTACTCCAAATTCTGTAAAAGATCTTTACTCCAAGACACATTTTTCTTTCCCTTCAAATATTTTTCTCCTTGAACCTCCTTCCTTTCCTTCCCATATAATTGCTTGGGATTTAAATTTTCCCTCAAGGAAGAACACAAACTTTCAAAGGAACATCCCCACTAGGAAAGATTGTGGGATTCCTCACATTGTGACACATTTTTGGAAAAAAGAAGTGCTGGTTTTTTGTGTATAAAAATGTCCCTGTATTTTGCACAGAAACCCTTATCTTTTGTTCATAAAACCTGACTTTCCACAAAAAAACTTTTGGGTTTTTCACAGAATACAAAATTTTGAATGCAAAATGCAAGGTTTCTAGTGCAAAATATAGGTTTTTAGCACAAATCACTTTTTTTTACACATGGCAGAATGGCAAAAAACTGGTAGGTTTTTGTTGTTGTTATTGTTCTCATGTGGTAGCAGAAAATTTCATAGAAGTTGTCAGTTTATTCATCAAGGTGGCCCAATCTGTCAAAACATGTTTTTTCATAAACTAGAAGAAAAATGGAGAATATTCATTATAGCTATAATCATAACTTCTTAGAAACAATTGTCTCCATGGAAGATATGGGAAGTAAAGTGACTTCTATAATATTGGCAAAAAATTAATATTAATCATTTGAGAAATACAGCCTTCCAGATGGAAAAGGTTCCACCTCAACAAATACTATTTGAGGAAACAAAAATGTACAACAGTCCCTTTCATAAAATTTATCTTGTAAATTTGGAGGTGATAGGCGTTGCTTTCCTTATATAACCAACACATTTAATTCCTTAAAGTTGTACTGTTTTAATTATAGAATCATTCATCAGGACAGAAAACCACTGTGTGCTCCTTATTTTATTTTGCTTACCATAGAAGAACTCATGTATTCTTTTTGCTGCTTTATAGTCAGTGGAGGAAAGAAGAATTTGGAGGGGAGGAATGTTACAAAAATAGCAGCTCACTCTCAGGAGAGACAGGGGCTTTGCAAAGTATTAAAGAACTAAAAGGAAGGACATTAGGCTGAAGGAAGGAAGGAGATCAGGAGGGTTTGTAGCAGAGGTTAATTGCATGAATAGAACAAGAGCAAGAACAGACCTTCACTGGCCCTTATTGCACATGCACCATTCAATACAATTAAAGAGATAATTTAGGAGAACTCTTGCCTTATTCTCAAGGGGTATCCCAATCAAAATATATCCTAGATATAAATGACACTTTATTTTTGAGCCTAGATTGGGTATTAACATGTGCCATAAAAATGCTACACACAAATATTTCTTTTTACAGTTTATAGTCTGAAAATGCCATTTTGCATCTGAACACCAGCACCTTTATAACTAGAGTATACATTAAAAGATAGTATGACATGACAAAGAGAAAGGACTGGTCTTCATACTTATCACTTATCTCACCAAAATGTGACATCTCCTAAGGTTCTATAATGTATTTTCTTAACTTCCTCCACTGAAACGTAAGCTCTATTTAGAGCATCACATCTATGATGGCTTATTTAGACACAAAGCCAGCCCGAACACCTGACACTGCAGAAACCAAATCAAGAACATTAATGAGTGGATTTTCTCTTGAGAAACTATGGATGATTTTCTCAATAACGACAACTTTAAACGTCTTATCATATGTAAAGTCACAGAAATATCCTCTGTGCAGCAACGAACAGTTATTTACATCAAAGGCACCAGAATTGCTAATCAATGTTATGCATATAATGATTTTAAGATCTGGATGAGCATTTAAAGTTGTCCTTATTGTCAAAACATCTATTACATTTGCATTTGCCATACTTACATTTGCTTGCACAATGACAAAATAGCGGGTTTTTTCTTCATAATTTAGCCTCTCACGCAAAACTACTGCTCCGGACAATGTAAGAGGAATGTCAAAAGTCCTGTTTGAGGTCTGAAAGACAGCAGGATGGGGTAGGAAAGGAAAAATAGCTTCATAGGAAACACTGATGCAATCAATGTCAGAAGATCCGGCAGCAGCAACTAATGGAAACTCAATAATGTACATCACTTTACACCTGCTGGCAATACTCTTATCTTTTGTCACATTTGAAATGAGAATAGTGTTAGAATTGATTCAAAAAGTGGGGAAAGGGGGTTGACTAATGAAAATAGAGCTTTGTCATTCTCATGAAAGAAGATACCTTCTTAAAAACCACCAAAGCAACAATACTCAGACCATATTTCAATAATAAATTCAGAATCAGAACATTGAAGCAATAATGGGTTAGATGAGGGCCAATAAACTCAAACTGTATTGTGACAAGACAGAAGTTCTGAACTCTGCTCACATCTGAGACTGGAGCAGACAGCCCATTCTGCTTTCTTCCTGGTGTATTGTTTTGGGATATTCCTTGACCTAGCTTTGTTACAAGAGGCCCAAGTGGCCTGAGTAGAATGGAGTGACATTACATTACCAAGTTACTCGCATTACTGGACAGAGATAGCTTGGCCACTGTGACTCATACTCTTTTCAACTGACTCATTATAATGCACATTATGTGGGGCTACCCTTGAAAATAATCCTGATGTTACATGGGTAACAAACGTGGTCACCAGGATACTAACAGGTACCACATTCAAGAACAATGGAATATCAATCTTAAAAGAGCTCTGTTAGTCGCCTCACTTTTTCTAGGCAGATTTCTTGATGCTGGTACTGATCTTCAAAGTCCTAAATGACTGAAGCCCCACCCATCTGAAGCACAACATTCTCTGTAGCAGCCTGCCCATGCCCTTTAGTAAGTAGTATCTGAGCCTGTCATTGCCACTAAGTTGTCAAACTGTTAAGTTGGTATGTGTCACCCTACAAAGGGCCTATATGAATTGGAGTCTACCCAATATTCTAGTTTTACTACTGCTGCAATTTCTGTTTGAAAAATCCAAGATCAGGCCTGAATAGTATTGCTCTAATATCCATGGAGATAGCTAGAGCTTGTGGTAAATTGTCCTAGGGGAATTCTGTTTGCATCTTGGGCACATTTGGTAATTGGAGACAGGGAAACAGACATGCAGAAGTGCACTGTACATAAGTGATGGAGAGCACACATTCTTTAAAGAAAGAAATGATAAGTTGGAGAAGACAGTGTTTTGTTTTTTACTCAAAAGGTTTACACGAGTGCTAACCTGTACATGCAGGTAAGAACTTGTCTGACAGCACACTTTTTTGAAAAATAAAAAAATAAAAACAGTGGAGCACCAGGTGAGAAGCATTACATTGATTTCTCAGCAGTAATAGAGGCCTTTCAAAGAACTGCTCATAATAGTAAAGCAGTTTTTAATTAAATAATTAATGACTGGCTGCCTAAGTGGATGGTTGGACTTTGCTCCTTGAAATGTACTTTTGGTATTCTTTTGTTTACTGTCTTTTAGTGCAGTATTTGCTTGATCCTTTTTAACATTTGTATACCATATTTTTCCGTTTACAAGATACCTCTATTTATAAGAAAACCTCCCCTCACTTTCTAACCCCCAAATTAAGAAACCTAGCTTTGAATATTCAGCCTCTGGGCTCAGAACACTCATGAGTCCCTGTTGCATCTGAGCCTACAAGCTCCACCTCCAACAAGGTGTGTTCCGATTGGTTTGTTCAGCATCAGCTGACATCAGTTCCTTAAGGCTTGTGATTGGAGGAAGCTAAGTCTCCTGATTGTAGGAAGCTAAGCCTCATGATTGAAGGAAGCCTGTTTACAGAAACAAGATATGGGCAGTTTTGTTCGCTCCATGTTCACAGCTTACTTCCGTGTATACGACACCCCTCAATTTTTAGTGTAATGATTTCAGAGAAGTAGCATCTTATACACAGAAAAATACTGTACTTAACTGTTTTTAGCTTTAAATATTGTCTTTTAATGATGTAAGGCACTTTGGGTCCTTTTAAAGGAAAAAGACATGGTAAAAATATTTAAAATAAATAAGTAAATAAATAGATGGTGTGAAATTCGGTAGATTCTTCTGTAGCAGCACCCTAATTCTGAAATTCCAAAAAAGATGCACCTGACACACTCTTCCTGTGATTCTGGTACTTTGTTTCAAATATTTACCTGTGGAAATAGACTTTACATGTTAGAGGAATAATATCTCTGCCCATCCTTTACCTCAGTGGTTTTCCAATCTTCATATCTCGCCAAATATCTCTCCAAAGTCACATCAATTATTCTTTCAAAGAATTATGACTCACCATTACAGAAATTAAATTACATCATTTTATTCTTCTGAGAAGAGCATTCATATATTTTCTGATATTATGTTATTGACCTGTATCTTGTTAAATATTTGTGATTGCTAATTATGGAAACTGCTGCAGTGTGCTGATGAGGTGCCTATTGCACACAGCCAGAAACATGACCACCACCTCATCAAATAGCTGCAGCAGCTTCTGCAACTAGCGTTGTGCCCATGTAGATATTGAACAGCATACTGACCCTTACTTACAGAGGGTTTTAAGTACATAAAAATGATAGTAGCACTGTTGGGAGTAAACAGAAAGAAAAGTAATAACACAATTACTACTTGAAAATTGTAATAATACAACTGAGTAAAAATTTCATAGCTACTGTAACTGTAAAGCAGAAATTAAAAGTTGCTGCAGTATGATTGTTTTGACTCCAATAGAAAGAGTAACAATAATCTGATAATTAAAGAAAATGAAAGCTTGGTATCTATATTATTTTATGTCCAACTTGTGGTATGCATACCAATGATTCAGAACCACTGGCCTACATTGCACAGTAAACATCAGTGTGAGTTTAGTTTATCTGTCTATAAACTGTTCCATATGTATAATTCTTTCACCAAAACAAAGACAAAAAGAAAGTGTGAATGAAGTGTGTACTGACTGTGCAGAAAGACTTTTAATTTGTTATGGTATGTGCCATCTCACTTACAACAACCTTAACAGAGTTTTCAGAGATATTTAAGGAGAGGTTTTACCATCGACAAACCCAGTCAATTCCCACAAGCAGGTTCGGATTTAAATCCAGGACTCCTAAATCTTAATCCATTGCTCTGTACACTACACTATACTACACAGGCTCAGTCACCCATTCCACACATTACATTCTTGGCAGTGAAGAAGAAATGTGCCTGTGCCATAGGAAGTCTGCTACGAAATGTGTGCACTGGGCCTGTTGTTGTTTTTACACACTGGAGATGTCGGAGAAATTGAGAATGGACAGATGTCCATATGCAAAGAGTAATTATCAGCATCGGCCAGGTGGAGAATACTCACAAAGAGCAGAAAAGGGTACACATTTTTGTTTGCATGTTTCCACTTTATCATGAAGCTGATGAAATTCATCTTTGTATGAAAAAAAGGGGGGAAGATCAGGCACACTGCTTTTTTTTAAATATGTGGTGTCATAGCAATTGGGGGTGGGAGGGAGATGCCATTATAGAAACATTAATCTGCTGTCTGAAATGGTGCATTCAAGACATGGGTTTAGGAACCTCATATGTCATATGTGAGAACTTGCAACCAGCTCCTACTGAACATTATCTTTTGTTTATGAACAGTCCCTCCATTTGTACAATATAACTTGTATCACTGGTAAAGTTGCTGGGAGTAAAACATATACTACCCCGTTTCCCCAAAATTAAGACCTAACCTGAAACTTATGAACAGTCCCTCCATCTGTACAATATAACTTGTATCACGATGCTTGTAATATAAGCCCTACCCCAAAAATAAACCCTAGTTAAGTGAAACCCCACCCTCCACCATTGTGCAGCAACCAGAAGATGACATGACTGTATTTGAATAAACGTAGATTGTTGTACATGGGGAAAAAAATAAAACATCCCCTGAAATAAGCCCTACTGCTTTTTTTGGAGCTAAAATTAATATAAGATCCTGTCTTATTTTTGGGGAAACACGGTACCATTCTCATGGGAGGTGGGAACACTTCTGACTCAGTATAATAAATAACATAATAGGGAGTGAAGTTATACTAATAAAAAATGCGTGGCAATCATTTTCCTCTTTCATTTTTTAAAAAAATATTGCTTCAGCAATACTAAAAGTAAAATTGGGTTCATTTGTAGATTCTGAATAATTTCTATCACAATGCAGGTGGGCCGAATATTATCTTGGAATAATGAGGCACCCAAGATTATAACAATTATTCTTTATTTTTCTTCTAAAATGCACTTACTTTCAAAATTCTTGTACCTTGTTCTTAGATTCATGCCTGGGTATAACAGTAATTATTGGAACAAAAAAAAAAACAGTCTGTATAAAATCAAATATTAGATATAAATAACTGTGCAGAAAATGTTTAATTAGCAGAAAGTTTTCTGTGGGTTGTGATCTTGAGCATAATCTACTGTTTGACCCTCAACTACTTTTCTATTACAATGTTTTTTTTTAAATGCTTCCCTCTTAAAAATAGACATTTTGAAGTATACCACCTTGGAAACCTTTTAAAAATACCATCCTGTAACTTAATTGGAATTAAATTGACTTGAATTAACTGGTTTGAAATCTTCATGACAAATTGAAAAACAAAAGACTAAACTCTTAACCCAATTTTAACACTAATATAAAATGTTCTAATGCCCAAACCAACCAAACAGACATGCTAGAAACAAGAAAAAAGTTTTAGTACCATATACTGTATCTATGTCACACTAAATCTTTGGGTCACTTAGGACCAGTTCACACAGAGTATATGAAGCAGAGAACAGTTATATGGTGGGATGTGGAATGCACATCCCCCTCTTAGAAATAAGGGAATATTTGATAATCCCCTTGCTCACAATGAAACAGAACCTTTACTGAGCTGAACTCCATACATATGAATGCTGATGTGATTACATCCACCTCTTTCTTAGGGTAATTAAGTTCTTTGTTGTTTAGTTGTTAAGTCGTGTCCAATTCTTCATGACCCCATGGAC